GAGCTTGGCAGCGATCAGTGAAGCTCGCTTCACTGTATCTCGCTGTACGAGCGGGCAAAGTGTATTGGAGGTCCATTTACTTAGATTTATCATTCCTCTACTATTTTACCGACTGAAACGCTAACCCGAATCGAATCCCCAACCCGGAAGACCAGGAAACTGGACCTCGTTTGACCTCTACCCTTTGACCTTCGAAGCATGATTAGATCTTTGGCCAGACAAAAGCCATTCTGTGTAGCTCGTTGGGTCATAGAGGTACACAAGCCATCACACCACGTCAAGGTGCAGTCTCGTCAGGGCTAGCCGAAGGCCCTGGGTATGGATTCCACAAGAAGATTCACCTGCCCTAGCCNGACTTGTTTGACAAACAGTCTGGCATCAGATAAGTGTGAAATATGATATGGCGCGAAATAGCGAATCAACCTTGAGCGCAGCACGAAAAGGAAGCTGGAAATCTAAAAGAAGATCAGTATGATGCAGAAGTTTTAGGTTATCCAAGTAGAGGAAGAGCCTTTGGAATGGAGTTGAGTTGAATCAAATGATAGGTTAAAAGCAGCTTTGCTGTTATCCAGTTCGGTGCCACGCTTGACCTATCGGGGCCACTCCAAGTCCCAGAACCTAGGTTAACGGTTTCCATTACTGAACAACATGTCTTCGTGACTATAGGGTTCAACCCCTCCGCCGTTCATCAAGCAAGTGGGGTGGGGAGGAGGAGAGAGTGAACGGTATATCAAAGAAACTGAAAGAAGAGAGGTGTGCGAAGCATTGAATCCAACATGATTGTCGTATTCCCAGAAGATGTCTCACATCAGAGGCCAGTGAAACATTAACTGCATAGCAGTTACAGTCGGTGTTGGTTGGGGCATTGCGAACATCGTGGTGGGAGACGGAGCAATGGAACGGCAAAAGAACGGATTTTGGACAGATCATTGATGAATTGAAGAAATTCTGGCGCAAGTACTGAACCTTCGGGAACGCCAACCTTCATAGGGAACGGTTGCGATGTAATTCCGCTAACTTGGACGGAGATGATGCGCTTACTGAGGAAACCTGATGTGAAAGCCAGAACACGGGTAGTTTTGCCCGTAGAACTTCATTCTTAACTCGATCGAATGTCTCTAAGATAGTAAGCGAATCCAAAGTAATTCTCCTTGGTTTTCGAGTTCAGCCGACCACGATGGAGACAAGAACCAGCAGGCCACCAATAGAATGACGCTGCCGGGAGCCATACTGAGAGTCACTCAGTAGTCCTTCACGTTCTTGGAATGCATGCAGTTGGTCATTCAGTTTCAGTTTTTCAATGTTTTACAACGTTTAAGCATGCGCTCTCGTGAGCCAGTTTTGGTTACTGTCACTCATTAGGATGAAGGGGCAAAATGAAGATTGCAATATTGAAAGCAAATTAAAGCGGTATATGGAGAATTCATATAGAGTAGTATTAGAAGAATAATGAGTAGATGCACGAGCGCCAGTGTGCGACACCCAGCCATATCACTCTCTAGTCATCAGTGACCATCATCTCGAGGTCCTCAACCAGGTAACCTAACGGGGCCTATGTGAGCTAGTCTCCTAGTTAGGGTTTTTATACCCTCATTCAAGGTCTTCATTTGACCACCCTTTATCTTTCTCCAACCGCTGCTTGCCTCAGCAAACATAGGTCGCCGTGGCAACCTATCTGAGGACATGCGCAGCACATCCCAGGCAACGTAACCTATAAAGGTAGACTGCTTGCTCCAGTGGACGACCGCGATTGTCTAAAACTCTACGCCTGACCTCAGCACTGCTCATCCGGTTTCCCCACCAGATTTGTGCAATGCTACGTAGACAGCGGTGTTCGAACACCGACAATCTATTTTTATCCTGTTCCCGTAGTGGCCAAGTGTCTGCACCATATAACAGAACTGGCGGAACTGCTGCAGCATACACTCGACCCTTCACGGGCAGCCGGATGTCGCGGCGGCGCCACAGTTGGTGGATGCGAACCGAGCCTTCTGTCTGCGCGCCGACAATTCATCCGTGACGCGTCAGCCAGGTGATATAAAGCTGTCTAGATAGCAAAATTTGTCTACTTCCTCTACTACTTCCCCAATCAGGGTGAGGTTGGGGAATGGACCAACTTAATCTTGTAAAAACATTGTACACTTTGGAGGTGCAAAACGCATACCGAACATAGCTACAATGGCACCCAATCTATCCAGAAAAGCTTGCAACTTGCCTGAATCTTCACTTAGTAGCACAATGTCGTCTGCATACTCTAGATCAGACGGTGTCCAACCTGAGAGTAAATCGATACCGCTATCCTCGCACAACAGTAGGGCTGTTTCAAGAAATAAATCTCTGACTAAGGTAAATTGAAACGGAGAAAAAGGAACCTTGACGAACACCACTTTCTATAGTGAACTCGGGCCGAAAGGTGACGTAAGGTCGAACTCGGCTTTGAATGTTAGTACAAAAGGATCATAATATAGCAATAAACTGCTGGAGCACACCCTTCGGAGAAAAGCAACACTAGAGTTTAGAACCGTCGCCTGAGTCGAAAGCCGCCATCAGATCGAGGAAGATAGAAATGGTGAGTCTACGAAAGGAGTGTCTGTATTCTAGAAGAATGAAGATGTGGTCTAAACAATCTCAAATTGGTCTAAAAGCAGCCTGGTTCCGACACGTGCGGCAGGCAATCGAGGGAGTATAACACCTGCGAGAAGAAGGCGATCAGTTATTTCCGTTTCGCACTAGCCCACACCGACGAAGTGGTCTTTCTTTGGGAACCCTAACCGGAGCTTTTGACTCAAATTCTGACCCACAAAGCAGCAGTTGGTTGAAGATGACGGTTTCAAGTATTCTGAAATGAACAGATGTGCGGAAAAGGGATCGTTAATTATCAACGTAAGAAGGTAAGAATATGCGGAAAATCACAATGTTTCCAAGTGAAAGGAAAAGTATAAAGTGGTAGGGAAAGCAGAAAAGGCGACGTGCAACAGGAGCCAAATGCGGCGTATGCATTTTGAAGATAATGATTGGAACACCGTCATTACCGGGTAGTCTGCTTGCTTTCAGCGAGCGCAATTTTTGGCGGAATTTCCTAGTAATAACATGAGTTAGAAAGGGTCGCCAGCGAAATAGGAAGAGAGTAGATAAGTAAGATAATTGTGTAAAGTGGAGTCTACTTCAACCCGGAGATAAACACCAGTTTTTTCCTGTGGTTGACATACCAAATCATCGGAGGAATTACAAATCTCTAAAATTTTGAAGATTACCAATAAAAGTCAAATAGATAAATCATTTAAATCATCTCACACGAGATTCATGGATGGAACGGATCTCACTGAAAAACTTGGGTGTCGTGCTCATGATTATTGAGGAAATTACCTTGTCTTAGCCACAACGAATGAAAACCAAAACACAAAGGCGTTGGTGACAACGTTTCGACCCTCGTGGGAGGCCCTTTTCAAGTTGACGACCGAGAGCGCATGGTTAATGGTTGTAAAACCTGAGACAAACTAAAACCCATTTGAATCTGAACTCTCATCCTGATTCTATTGTCTAGGTTAATGTTTGTTTCACGTATAAAAGTGACGCAGCCTTCATGCACTGAATGAACACACTTAGTCTGTTTTAATCTCGAATTTAATTGCTGTTTTGTAATTGAAAGGTAATCTTCCCCAACTTGGTTTATTTGTGTAGATGCGCCAATAAACTGAACACATAACATCAACTATCAGAAACAGGTTAATTCCAATTTTCTTTTGTTTTCTTGAGATTTTAATTTCAATTAGCTGGTACTTTCAAGTGTTTTTTGTTGCACTTTCACGCGTGTGAAATTTCTCACTTCACTTTTAATGCTTTACTGGTTCAGGCACTGGAAATACCGGAGCAGACGGTTCCTACAAGCCTTCTTTCCTGTCCGATCAGGAGTTAAAGCACCTCGTCTTGGAGGTTAGTACCGAGTACTTCCTTTCGTTTGTTTATTTGAAATTTCCTACCGGAAAAAAACTCAAAATGGCGTGCAGTAAACAAACAAAACATTGTTACTCCCCGAAGTTGACTGTTTTGTTATCCCCGTTTTTTTACCTGTATTTTTTCGTTCACCCATGGTTATTTTTGGCGCCGTATCTGTAAAGATTGGTGTTAATATATATATATATATCGGTTTTTGACACCACGTATATTAAGGCTGACAACAGTAATTCTGCTGGAAATGAGCTTTTCGTCATCGCAACATCGACAGACTATGTTACACTCATTTTGATAGGTAACATCTTGCTTTTTCGGTTCTTGCTGTTCGCNNNNTCTTCTATCCATCACCACTGACGCGATGCGATGCCTCTCAAAAGTCTGGACTTTTTAGCCAGGTGATAACGCACTTGGCTATAGCCTGACTAATTTCTTGACCTAAAGGGTCATTGTTGTACTACAACTGAAAAAACTCCCTGAGATCTGTAGTTGATGGAGGGTTTGTCTGAACTTTTGTTCTTAAGTGTCGAATTCATTTTATTCGAATATCCTGCTTTTTGGTAGAATAATCGTTGAAGTAAGTAAGCTCAGCTACTCCGTCGTGCTTAGTTTGGAAGATACAGATCAATTGCTTGGCGTATGAAACTGATACGTCTGTTTTTCACAAATCAGACGAACTTCATAGTACTGGTCCCTGGCACGGTTCAGTGATATTTGTGCGTGTATATATATATATATATATATATATATATTTACCACCGGCTT